AGTTTCCTGATTCTGTTTTGAGTTTTGCGATTTTGTTTCGGATTTTGTGATTCTGTTTTGGGTTTTGTGATTCTGTTGTGGGTTTTGTGATTCTGTTTTGAGTTTTGCGATTTTGTTTTGGATTTTGTGATTCTGTTTTGGGTTTTGTGATTCTGTTGTGGGTTTTGTGATTCTGTTGTGGGTTTTGTGATTCTGTTTTGAGTTTTGCGATTTTGTTTCGGATTTTGTGATTCTGATTCTCTTTAGGGTTTTGTGATTCTGTTGTGGGTTTTGTGATTCTGTTTTGAGTTTTGTGATTCTGTTTTGGGTTTTGTGAATCTGTTTTGGGGTTTTGTGATTCTGTTTTGGGGTCTCGCGATTCTGTTTTAGGGTTTTGTGATTCTGTTTTGGGGTTTTGTGATTCTGTTTTGGATTTTGTGATTCTGTTTTAGGGTTTTGCGATCCTGTTTTAGGGTTTTGTGATTCTGTTTTGGATTTTGCGATTCTGTTTTAGGGTTTTGCGATCCTGTTTTAGGGTTTTGTGATTCTGTTTTGGATTTTGTGATTCTGTTTTAGGGTTTTGCGATCCTGTTTTAGGGTTTTGTTATTCTGTTTTGGATTTTGTGATTCTGTTTTAGGGTTTTGCGATCCTGTTTTAGGGTTTTGTTATTCTGTTTTAGGGTTTTGTGATTCTGTTTTAGGGTTTTGTGATTCTGTTTTAGGGTTTTGTGATTCTGTTTTAGGGTTTTGTGATTCTGTTTTAGGGTTTTGCGATCCTGTTTTAGGGTTTTGTAATTCTGTTTTAGGGTTTTGTGATTCTGTTTTAGGGTTTTGTGATTCTGTTTTAGGGTTTTGTGATTCTGTTTTGGGGTTTTGTGATTCTACTTTGAATTTTGTGATTTTGTTTTGGATTTTGTGATTCTGTTTTAGGGTTTTGTGATTCTGTTTTTAGTTTTGTGATTTTGTTTTGGGGTTTTGTGATTCTGTTTTAGGGTTTTGTGATTCTGTTTTGGGGTTTTGTGATTCTATTTTGAATTTTGTGATTTTGTTTTGGATTTTGTGATTCTGTTTTAGGGTTTTGTGATTCTGTTTTAGGGTTTTGTGATTCTGTTTTGGGGTTTTGTGATTCTGTTTTGGGGTTTTGTGATTCTGTTTTGAATTTTGCGATTTTGTTTTGGATTTTGTGATTCTGTTTTGGGTTTTGTGATTCTGTTTTGGGTTTTGTGATTCTATTTTGAATTTTGTGATTTTGTTTTGGATTTTGTGATTCTGTTTTGAGTTTCCTGATTCTGTTTTGAGGTTTTGTGATTCTGTCTTGAATTTTGTAATTTTAGGGTTTTGTGATTCTGTTTTGGGGTTTTGTGATTCTGTTTTGAATTTTGCGATTTTGTTTTGGATTTTGTGATTCTGTTTTGGATTTTGTGATTCTGTTTCAAAGTTTTGTGATTCTGTTTTGGGTTTTGTGATTCTGTTTTGGGTTTTGTGATTCTGTTTTGGGTTTTGTGATTCTGTTTTGAGTTTTGCGATTTTGTTTTAGATTTTGTGATTCTGCTTTAGGGTTTTGTGATTCTGTTTTCGGGTTTTGCGATTTTGTTTTGGATTTTGTGATTCTGTTTTAGGGTTTTGTGATTCTGTTTTGGGGTTTTGTGATTCTGTTTTAGGGTTTTGTGATTCTGTTTTGGGGTTTTGTGATTCTGTTTTAGGGTTTTGTGATTCTGTTTTAGGGTTTTGTGATTCTGTTTTAAAGTTTTGTGATTCTTTTTGGGGTTTTGTGATTCTGTTTAAGGGTTTTGTGATTCTGTTTTGGATTTTGTGATTCTGTTTTAAAGTTTTGTGATTCTTTTTGGGGTTTTGTGATTCTGTTTTGGATTTTGTGATTCTGTTTTGTTCCTATCGGCCACCGTACAAATGGCATTCCGCTAAACTCTGCAAGTTCCAATCTCGTTCCCAGGATTCTCTCCTCCCAAGAGAGAATGCTACTACTTATCCTGTTAGTTCATAGAGAGTGTGGGGGAGGAGGAGGGGGGATGCTGTCATTGATTTCACGAGGGATAAGGACCCGAACAATAGCTCTAGTGCTAACAAGAATACGACGGCGCTACAGCTTTTAAAAAAGGACCAAAGACTGCAACAAAGTTCTACAAAAAGTACAGTCTACCCAAACTCTTGTTCGTACGACATACAAGCCTTTAATTTTCGATTAAATGCAAGAAAATCACAATTTACTTCAGTTTCTACAGAACAAATGGTTGTGTGATCAAAGCTAGAGCGCGGTCAACGCGACAGACACTTATCTCTAAGAACTTGAACAGCTCAGTCTTGCCATTGGAGGTGAAGATTCCGTGCGATGAAGGCGTAAATATCTGAATACTCTTCGATCTGAAGAGAGAGAGAGAAAGGAAAAAAAACACGGTAAAGACTCTAAAGCAGTTCAAAAGGATCATAATAAGGCCATTTTAGAGTTTCCTAGAGCCTCTGTTTCGAGGCAAACTAAGTGCGAAGCCATCGATATGAACATGATTTTTTATTCTCACGCAAATAAAACTCATTTTCACTACAAATGATTTGCACTTAGCCTCGTTATAAAAATGAGATTTTTGAAAGTTGGGAATCGCGTCCCTGAAAAGGTCGCGAACGGAAGTATGAACAAAATTGGTTAATGGTGCTTGTTAACGACACTGACATTTCTACATGCATTGCTTACATTATTCTGCGTTACAAAAAGCTACTACATAAGAAATGTGATTGGAGTTTGAAGAACAAAAAAGAACTTCTGCTGAAGCTCAGCCAGCAAGGAAAAGGGATAAATAATTCGTATTAGTAGGTTTTAGTTCTTAGAAATAACAATACTAAATAAAACACTTGTAAAACACAGTTCGAAATCAAACAAATTCTAAGCACTCTTTTACTCGTTTTTGGTAGAGGGAAACATTTATCATTCAGGTTTTGTGTCTTTCGTTAGGCACGCCTTAATCCTTTAAGTTCCAAGAATGACCAACATTAATTTACTCCTAACAATATCAATATATAATCAAGTAGAAAGGTTATGAAAATTAACAAAATGATCACTAAACGAAAAATACTTAGTGATCTTTTAACAAATTCTCTAAAACAATTTTTCAAGGACATGGTTGGGGGCTAGTCTAAAGAATTTGTATGTTAATCAGAATCTTGGCGCTTGAAGAGTTAAAGGAGGAAAATTCATGTTGAAAGAGACAACTTATCTTAGGCCTTCACAGTGGACATTGAAAGTATTTAGGCACACAGGTCAATTTTTCTGATCCCATCTCCATACGCATGCCGTGGGAGAACTGTTTTGCATACGACTCCCAACCATTAGCTACCACTTTTCCACAGTGGAGTTGTCGCCTGAAGGAGTACTTTTTTGCACTCGCCTGGGCAGTAATGGGTCTTTGATACACGGGTTCGCCCGTTCGTACTCCTCTTAAAGGAGTACTTTTTTGCACTCGCCTGGGCAGTAATGGGTCTTTGATACACGGGTTCGCCCGTTCGTACTCCTCTTAAAGGAGTACTTTTTTGCACTCGCCTCGGCAGTAATGGGTCTTTGATACACGGGTTCGCCCGTTCGTACTCCTCTTAAAGGAGTACTTTTTTTTGCACTCGCCTCGGCAGTAATGGGTCTTTGATACACGGGTTCGCCCGTTCGTACTCCTCTTAAAGGAGTACTTTTTTGCACTCGCCTCGGCAGTAATGGGTCTTTGATACACGGGTTCGCCCGTTCGTACTCCTCTTAAAGGAGTACTTTTTTGCACTCGCCTGGGCAGTAATGGGTCTTTGATACACGGGTTCGCCCGTTCGTACTCCTCTTAAAGGAGTACTTTTTTGCACTCGCCTGGGCAGTAATGGGTCTTTGATACACGGGTTCGCCCGTTCGTACTCCTCTTAAAGGAGTACTTTTTGCACCTCGCCTGGGCAGTAATGGGTCTTTGATACACGGGTTCGCCCGTTCGTACTCCTCTTAAAGGAGTACTTTTTGCACCTCGCCTCGGCAGTAATGGGTCTTTGATACACGGGTTCGCCCGTTCGTACTCCTCTTAAAGGAGTACTTTTTTGCACTCGCCTGGGCAGTAATGGGTCTTTGATACACGGGTTCGCCCGTTCGTACTCCTCTTAAAGGAGTACTTTTTTGCACTCGCCTGGGCAGTAATGGGTCTTTGATACACGGGTTCGCCCGTTCGTACTCCTCTTAAAGGAGTACTTTTTTGCACTCGCCTCGGCAGTAATGGGTCTTTGATACACGGGTTCGCCCGTTCGTACTCCTCTTAAAGGAGTACTTTTTTGCACTCGCCTCGGCAGTAATGGGTCTTTGACACACGGGTTCGCCCGTTCGTACTCCTCTTAAAGGAGTACTTTTTTGCACTCGCCTGGGCAGTAATGGGTCTTTGATACACGGGTTCGCCCGTTCGTACTCCTCTTAAAGGAGTACTTTTTTGCACTCGCCTGGGCAGTAATGGGTCTTTGATACACGGGTTCGCCCGTTCGTACTCCTCTTAAAGGAGTACTTTTTTGCACTCGCCTCGGCAGTAATGGGTCTTTGACACACGGGTTCGCCCGTTCGTACTCCTCTTAAAGGAGTACTTTTTTGCACTCGCCTGGGCAGTAATGGGTCTTTGATACACGGGTTCGCCCGTTCGTACTCCTCTTAAAGGAGTACTTTTTTGCACTCGCCTCGGCAGTAATGGGTCTTTGATACACGGGTTCGCCCGTTCACAGACCCTAAGGCTATTCCATGCTGATGAGCCCCAATAAGGGCGAAGTAACTGTACATGGCTGCCACTGCCGGGGTGATATGGTTGTGCGCATGCGTAAGGTACTACTGGCCATACCGCGGAGTTCGTACGTGTGCTTCAGTGCTAAAATTGACATTGAAAGTCCCCAATATGGTTCTCCAATAGCGTCGTCGCGATTAAATGTTCCCTCAATCCCGTAATGCCGATGATTCTTTTCGTCATCGCACATCCCGTGCATACATTCGATCCCAATACCAATCCCACCCTTCTTTAAAATCCCGAATACTGGCTTTCAAATAAGGTAAATTCCAGCGCCCGAAAACTTGTTGGGAACCCGAGCAAACTAATCAGACTTACAATTTTGGCGGTAGGCTTTCCAAATCCGTGACCGGCTTTTGTGTCCACTCTTATAAGCAACGGGTTTGTCTGCAAAGAAAGATACATCCGAGGGTCGAGTTGTTATTAAAAAGAAAAGTTTCCTCTTTAGAGAAAAAAATGCAAGAAAAAAATATTGTTACCGTAAATGCTGTTATGTATTAGCCCCCCGGGGGGCTTATTCTTCCCCTGAAAAGCATGGGCTTATTAGAGAGGGGGGCTTATTTGAGAGGTGGGGTTAATAGAGGATTTACGGTACCTGTTTTTCGTAACCGCCAATACGATGATGCAACTCTGCAATGTACTTCAGAGAATGGAGTGGAACAACTCGATCATCATGGTCAGCGGTTAACAGCAGCAGCGCTGGATATTGTGCTCCGTTGTCGGGAATCTTAATATTGTGTAAAGGGGAATATCTAAAAATCAATCAGTTAATCTCACAATTAATACTTCAACCAGCAAATCAATGGTTCGATAAACGACAAATGATTATTATAGGGAATAAACAGTTTTTTCTGTCCAGATTGATTTTCTCAGTACCTCGTACCTATCACTCGGTGGATCGAATGCAAACTTGGGAACAATTTTAAAAGAGCACAAGTCACCTTAGGAAAAGCTACCCTTCCAATGAACCTTTACGTTAACATGAAACCTTCACAATAAGGGTTCTTTCATTTTATAATATTAAAGTTCACGTTTTTCTTTCGTTCGTTGCCAAGAATCTCTCTCCGCTCACTATTAGCGGCTGAGAACAGGAGAACCAGTCTAGCAGCAATAGAAAACGTCTCTCAGAAATAAATCAAAAACCTTTTTAAGTTGAGGAGGAACTTCACGAAAGCAGAGGGAAAATAATGTTTAATTTCTGTAAGGAAAGAAAGCAACTCACTTGATCAGCCATTCAAAGTCTTCCTTCTTGTCGGGACTACCATAATCAGTCGTCCTTTGCAAACAAAGAGGACACGTTTTCAATGACTCAAATTGGAAGCAATATCATAAATGTTTCTTTATATCAATGTTCTCCAATGCTTACTTACCAGGCATGGCCGATGGTAAACTTATGAAACTTCAGCATGTCCATGACTCTGCAAAAGTAATGATAGAATTCAAAGAATTATAAGCATGTTTTCAGTTCCGTAGAGGACACTAGTAGAGTTCAAAGAACTGGCTAAAACATGCGTCCTAGTATTGACGAATTCGGGAAATGGTTACAGAAAGTGCCGCACGTATAAATACGTGGACGGCATTAATTTATTATCAACAAAGTGGAAATACCGTAAACCCCTGCATGGGGGGCTTATTAATTTCAAACGCGTTTGAGGGGGCTTCAGTAATAGAGACGGGGGACTTATTTGAGAGGGGGGAGGGGCTTGTTTAATTTAGCGAAGATGGTGGTATCAGATCTCCATAAAGAACTTAGCCTCCCACGCGGGCATTTTTAGGGGAGCTCGTATTTCTTCCCTCCAAAGGGAGGAGGGAAGAGGAGAGGGAAGAAATACGAGCTCTTCTAAAAACGCCTGCGTGGGAGGCTATAAAGAACTAGAATGCAAAGTGGATAAGCTCAAGTACAAGAAGTGAGAATTATGAACCGAGATTTATGAAACAATAACCCTAATTTCCACAAGAAAACATCGAACTGAAAGATTCTGGTAGTTGTACACTGATGACGTCATCGTGCAAATAAACTACCGTAAAATTCCGAAAATGAGCCCCTCCAAATATAAGCCTCCCCAAACCGGTAACGCAAAAAACCCTCCGTGAAATCGCCCCTCCAAATACAAGCCCCCCCGGGGGCTTGTAGTTGGAAAATTGCCCTCAAATACGAAGTAAAACAAAGCAAAAATGGTAAATTTATTTCCAACTATAAAGCTAGCTCAATCGATTTTGAAACTCAAATTTCCCTCCGTAGATAAGCCCCTCCAAAAATAAGCCCCTCAAAAAGAGCCTTTGAAAAATACAAGCCCCGGGGCGTATTTTCGGAATTTTACAGTATTGCCTAAAAATGTGCAAACTTGACAAGCAAAAACTTTGGACTAGTCGAGTACAAAATCGAGAGAACGCAAACTAGTCTCAGAGAATTCCCAAGCAATAACAATATCAGTGAAAATGTATGGCGTTAGAGCGCTCTTAACTCATATAAATTACGACGAAAGTCATTCTAATATAGATTGTAAGTTGTCCTAAATTTAAAAGAGTTCAAAAGCTGACAAATGAGCTCGCCTATTACAAACATTTCAATTCTCTAATACTGTCTATGCTAAAGGGATAAAATTGAAGTGTGACTTACGGTACTTGCGAGACAGCACATCCAAACAGCTCCGGTCTCTGGTTGATACAAGCACCCACCAAAAGTCCACCATTAGAACCACCACAGATGGTTATCCTGTCGTTAGACAGACAAGAGGACGTGAAGTCATTTAACTTGCACTGATATTGCTACCGAAATGGTTTCATCATTACGACCGCCTGGCAGGCGTTTCCTTTCGCTGCTCCTATTATTAAGGTGCAAAGGATTTCTGGGAAGGAAGCGCGCGAGACTTGCGAGACCGAAGAGCCAAAAGTGCAAGAAGTGCGCGTGAAAAAATTGTGTTCCTAATCTTAGGACTTGTTTAAAAGCAGGAAGGGGAACCCTGGTGGTAGGCCAAGAGGGTTAAAGATATCTTTGGTTTACGAGCAAAATTTCCCAAGCGGGGTTCCCTTTCAAACGGGTCAACTTTACAAGCTTGACTGACGTGTTTCGTTGTGCGTCACCCCGTAAGAATAAAATACACATCCTCTGTAACGCCCAAGAATTAAACGAAATCTTAAAGATCTGCGCGTTAAACACGTTTAATTCACGGGAAAACGGACAGATGTTATCATCGTATAAAGAAAACTCTTTCATTGTTCAGATGTTTAAAATTTAGCTCGAAAAGTTGGATAACTCCGTTCAAATTTTCAAGATTTCTGATCATGGTAAACAGTCAAAGTTGTCCCGGGTATAGGCGAGTTATCCCTAGCAGAGCGTTTACAAGGTAGTTAGGGTAACCCTCTTGCTAGGGTAACCCTAGCACTCAGGTAGGGTTACCCTAGCTTCAGGGTAACCCTATCTGTCTTATAAAAGTTGCGTAAAAAAGAAGAAATATGCGAGTGCTAGGGTAACCCTCCCTTCTTTGTAAACAGGTCATTACTCTTTCTTTTCGCACTCCTACGAGATCATAGTTTGATGACTGCGTGCATCCATAATCATGACCGCAAGAAGGTTCTCCTCCGGTCAGCTGATCGATTAACAACAATCGCAAAAAAGATATTGCGTCACCCCTGGACGTTAATCTTTGCTTTAACTATGAGGACGGGGTGTCGTAAAATGAATGCACAACACTCGGCAAGTAGGTTTTGTCCTTCCCAGAAAGCCCTGCGTTCTATGCTTTTGGCGCCATAATGTAGCATTGGAACGAGACAAATAGTAAAGATACCATAACAACTCATCCAAACTCCGAGGATATCAAGAAAAGCAATAGTAAACACGTACTTGTCTGCCGAAGTGTATTTTTGCTGTGCTAGGTAAATCGCTGCGTGCTGAAAGTCATCAAAAACATTCTGCTTGTTCCCAAAGCATCCCGCTTGATGCCATGTTTCTCCGTATTCCCTGCATGGAGATAACAAAACAAAAACTATTTTCGTGAAAACGTCTTTTATGTAGACGAAACAGACATCGTGTAAATATTATGATGCATAACAACTACTGCACAGGAAACTAAGGGACCATGAACATCAAGGCAACTTCTTTAATATATTTTCAAAACGTTGTGGTCAAAAATTATGGTTTACAAGTTCAGACGCCGTTTTGAATTTCTACCAAACTTAACCTTGCCGATATCCAAAACTAATTGATGAAATGACAAATGAGAGGCATAGTGCAGGTTTCTGTCAGACACAGTCTCTCTCTTTTCCCGCGAAAAATTGGGTACTCAATTCCTTTTTACGGACGCAAAAAGGCAAAAGGTGAAGTTCCTTATCATATGTCGGTAACTCGTATAATAAGCAGTACTCATTAGACTAACAAACCCGAGGCCGACGGTGCGCTCATTTTTCCCCCTTCCCTTCCTCTTTCCATCAGTGCTCTGTTTTACGGGTAACAAGCATGTGAGGTCACGACTGGGAATCGCCGGAACTCGGAATCCACTGCACAAAAGACGGCGCACTAACCGGTTGTGCTAATCCCCTTTCGAGTTTAGAAGCGGACGAGTTTAACACCATTTTTTAGCAAATCTTATCATTTTACTGCCGGGGGGAGGGGGGGAGGCAGTGGGGTGGGGAAAATGCAAACATACTTTTCCTTGCCCTTGTTAAAGCAATTCTAAAGTACAGCTAAGCTATACTTACCCTCCACCCCTTAGGTTAGGAACAGCAATTATCCCTCCGAGATGTTGCATGAATACGATTCGTGAAACACTGAAGGCTGGAGTAATAGAAATGTTGAATCCTCCGTAACCATACAAGAACAAAGGGTGGCTGCCGTCTAACACGATATCCTGATTAACAAACGCAGTTAATTAACTACACTAGTTGAGACTTGCTTTAATCTAGAATTTAAAAGTATTAAACACAAGCACTTGTCTCAAAAGCACATCGTTATACATCATTCATTAAAAGAGTTCATTATCCATTTTTCGATTGCTTATGAGCATTAAGTTCTGGGGAAGTCACCCCAGATCAGCTATTAAGCTCGCTGGAAAAGGCAATCAGGTGTTTATAGAGTAAGCAGATCGACTAGGTGGGTGGAGCCACTCCAACCAAAGATAATCGTATGTATTGTCGCTGCTCAAGCTCCTATATAACAAACCAAGACATCGTCACTAAAACGGGAAACGGAAAAATATGAAAAATGGAAACAAAACAGGGAATAGGTAACGAAGTTACTGATAGTGCTAGTAGGGATTTAAGCTAGCTTTTCGTTCCTATTTTTCATTTAACCCTTCCCTGGGCTTGTTACCGGTTACCTGTTGTCCCTTTTCGTAACATCGTGGTTTGATAAACCATGGCTCGGTTGTTCAAAGACTAGATAGTGCTATCCACCGAATAAATCTCTATCTAGTGGATAGTGCTATAGGTTTCCCCAATACTTGTCCGTTGGATAGTGATTTATCCGGTGGATAGCGCTAGCCAACGTTTGAACAACCGCTAGGGCCAGATCTTTATGCAACATTACATTTTCACGTGTGCAAGTAAATCACTAGCCTCACGGCAGACTTCCTTTGGGGTTCGTTTGTCACGCATTCAAATGAATGCGTGACAAACGAACCCCAAAGGACGTCTGCGGGGAGGCTAGTAAATCACAGGTTTACCTTTTTATGAACAATGAACATCGGAATCTTGGTTCCATCTTTGCTTGGATAAAACACTTGCACGGTCTGATAACTACTGGCGTCAAATCCACTCACTTTAATTTCGCGGAAAACCTGTCATTTCCAAAAACATGGTTATTTAGCGCCACCGCCTGGCAGAGAGTGTCATTTTTTACACTGGAGGGCTTGTCATAGAGGGGTCTTATCTTATTAGTTTTTTTACAACTAATTGGAAGAAGGACAGAGTTCGTTCTTAAAACACAATGTTTGTTGGTGTAAGTTATATGCACTGAACTGTAATGCAGTTTTCTTCAGCAATAAAAACGCAGATATGACATTTATTGCAACTGAAATGAAGGCAATTTAAGACACAAACCTTGGGTTGGATGTTGTCTTCAGTTAAATCACAATGGTGGATAACACCGGGGGTTAGGAATGAAGTTAACTGGTAAAAAATCTGCAAAAAGAGCAGTTAGCTGTAAGTTTTGTTATTCAAAAATAAAAATTCGATGGCCCAAGGTTCCAAGTTGGGTCAAGCATGCAGTGTTGAGCCCAACAATTATCAGGAAGCTTAGTCACTTTTAAAAAAGTATTCCCGTTCTTTCTGAAACTTGATAGAGATTATTCTAGGTGAGTTTTCCTAGAACTACATTCTTGGTGTCCACGTCGAAGTTCATAAAGAGAAAGAAAAATTTGCCGTCATGTGTTTACGTCGCGGAGTCCACAAAACGTCACATAAGATAATTTCACGTTGCAGGCTACGACGACGACCACAACGACAAATTTTCCTTCCTCTTTTTGAACCTCAATAAAATCCTTGAGAATTCAACTCCAGGAAAAGTCGCCTGCATTTGACATATTGAGCGGGTCCAAATGGACACGATAAAGTTTGAAAAGACGCAAATTCACTTTTTAGCGACGTGTTTAAGGTCCCTAACAAGATGAGTTTTCGCCGACCGGCTGAAAATTTGACTGACTACTTCGTTCACACGGAACCGTTCAATATTTTCGCTCTATTCAGACGGAACTCTGAAAAGTTAGACGTCTAAATTTTCTTAATGTTAAGGTGATTCCGTTTGAACGGAAAAACTAAACACACGAAGTTTCAACCGGTCGAAAATTCTTGCGACGCTGAGTGAACGTAGCGGCAATTATGCAGTGATGGGGAAGAAATGTAACAAAAAGCGTGATGCACGTGCAGAGTGACAGTTTACATGTGTAGCTCATTAAACATATTGTTATTTAGTTTTTAAGTTCCCGTTGCCGTCGTTTTGAAGGTTACAGCGCCACAGGGCCTCAGAATTCCTCCCTGAGTTTTACCACTTATAATCATTGTTTCATTTTTTCGCATCCCCTTGCAAAACTCCTGAAATTTTACCTATTTAAAGGGAGCCAGGGTTGCCCAAGTTTGCATATCTGAGACGGCGCGAATGGTCGGCTGAAGTCTCTTTCTTGCTACGAGAAATTATTTCACTCTATACTCCGGCCTTTTCCCTCTCAACTCAAAAACAAACAATTCTATCAAATTCTAATTCGATCTGGAACACAAGAACACATGTAAAACGAGTTCTTGAGAGCCTCAAGGGCTTCCGCGGACAAAACAACTGATGTTCCACATGTTTGGTTTGTTCAAGTTGTTCATGTGTTACCTCTGAATCTCTTTTCCGCCCAGAATAACCAACAATGCTGCCAATGTCGAGTGGGAAACTCATCAGCCTTTCTCCAGACAAATTGTGAAGGTAAAGAACGCTCTGGAAAGTAAAAAACAGAGTAAATTAGTAACAACGTCGCATTTCATTTTCAATTATATTGAATGAAGACAGCTGTTCACATACCAACTAGAAGCGCGGGAACAGCAAGGACGCCCACGTGACCACCATTTCCCGCCATTTATCACGCTTGCTGCCGTTTACCGTTGTCAAAGTGAGGAAGCTAGTTTTTACTCCTTTTTACGCAAACAACCAACAGAAAACGTGAGTATTTTAAACTTTGTTTCTTCCGCTTATCGCAGCTTGAATTAAATATAAAGCCAATTTCCACGCTTATGACTGAAACATTTGCAAGTACTGGAAAAAAAGACAGTTAACGGCGGCTGTCGTAAACTTTTCCGTCACAGATTATTTTGGGAGCTGTTTTTCTTATGTGATTAGTTTGTATGCTTTTGCAAATGTAAACGAAAACGCGTGAACACGGCCTTTATCTCTGTTTTTTTTTATGACTTCCTTCTTAGGAGAGAATAATTCAGTACCAGTAGAAACAAGAAACCACCAGAAAAACATTACGGACCTTGACGTCATGAAGATAACAGAGAACCAACAAATTCTGCTTGACACAAGAGGCCCATTCTAAAACATCTTGCTCGTCTTCTTCAACAAGAGTCGACCAGTGTTCCTGGATAATAAAGTAATGACAAGCGAGATTTTGTTAACAAACACCTTCACTTTTCTCAATTGTATCAAAAGTGAGTACCGGTAAGCGAAGGAGATTTTCTCTTCTGATCACGAGACATTTATCCAACTGTTATTGTTAAAAAAAATACACAGACAACAAATTGAAATATCTTGTTACAAAAAATCGTCTACAACGTCATTTTGCAGGACATTTGCAACCATACTGTACTTACCATTTCGGGTTTTGAAAAGTCAATATTGATTAATTTGTATCTTGGAGCTTTCAAGTTTGTCTTGAAAGTGAAGAGGGTCCCCTCATTAGTGATGTACTAGATAAAAAAAAACAAAGCAAAATGAGATAAAACAATTTAATACAAAGTTTACAACATACAAGATAAGAGGTCTACTGACCATAATTCCAAGGGAATGCATCATTGTTATGACATTACCTCATACTCAGCATCAAAATTGTCCACCACTTTCACGTAAGGAAGTTTACCTAAAACAATAATAAACAAAAATATACAGTTTGCCATTACACAAACACCTTATTTCCTGAACTCTCTATGCATAAGCTAAATCATTTGAAAAAATATACAAATAAAAAAATAATAATAAATTTAAAAAATACAAAAATTAAAAGTTGGAGAGCCAAGAGTAAATGTATAGCATTGAACTAATTTTTGCAGTTTCTAGCATTGAATTTTTTTACTTGGACAGAAGCTGATTCTGAACTTTTCTAGTCTGTTGTATTATTACCAGTTATTCCATCTTTTTGCTTCTCCAGATCACAGTAAAAAAGTCTGTTCATTGGAGCACAGCCTTCGTGCGGAGTTAAAATCACGTATCGTCCACAATCACTGACTTCAGCACCTCTACAAAAACAAGAAAGCAAGTGCTAAAAGTTTAGGTAATTATTAGACAGGCTTCAATACAAAATATTTAGGTCAGTACAAAGTTACTAAGAATACAGACACCACAGAGAAGTCAGCACACAGCAAACATAACCCAAGTTAAGGTGTAGTTTTCTCTAAACAAAGTAACTGACAACAGAGCTAACCGCCCCGTTGGTTAGCTCAATTATATAAGCACTGGTCTTTCTAAGAGGAAAGTCACAGCCAGACCAACACTCAGGGTCTTAAAACAACTGAGGAGAAGGTGCTGCCTTTGTTCTGGCATCCACAAAATAATAGTTAATCAGATAATGACGAATAATGGTCAGACCTGTACCACAGCTCTTTTACGCTGCTGATTACTGTGGAATGCAAAAACTGCTGTTTTTAAAGAAAAGGAACATTGGAAATATCGACCCCAGTAGTTTGGTTAATCTTAAAAACATGTGTGCATCTATGTGTACAGGTGTAATGCTGTACATAGTAGGTCCACATAAACTTTTGGTTGCCCTTTTTTATATAACCTGCTATACGAAATAAAATGATGATGATGATGATAATACATGTAGTTATATTACTGAGCTACATGTGAGCAATATTATTGGACAAAATATTTTCCAAAAAAAATAACAGTAATTTCATACTGTAATTATTACTTACACAGACCACTTAGGATGCTCCGGGAACTCACAACAAAGAACATCTTCTGACTGGCTGGTTCCAAGAACATGGTAATAAAGCTGTTATGGATGTAACAAAAAAATAACAACTGAGAATGCATTTTTGGTTTTAGGCAGTTGTTTGCATAAGTTATTTTTCAATGGCCTCTCATTCTGACTCTATCCCAATGGCACTTTTAAGCCCAACATCACCAAACCTCTTACAGCTAGACTTCAGGCTGGTTGACTTCATTAAATATATTACACTTTTGTTGCAAAATAAGACAAACATATTTCAAACTTACCTTTTGATTAAGATTTAGTTCAGTGACAGTTCCATCAGCTTTAGAACTACTGGGATATTTCTATCAGGTCAAAAACAGAATCTTAATATACAAAGATACAGTAGTAATTAAAAGTATAGATTGTTATGTAATAATACTAAATATCTAAAAGTTTATTCAATAAGTATCTTATCTTTCCCATTTTATTGTTATTGAGCTTAAAACAGGTTCTCCAGAAGCCTTGGGGCCCGGCACAAATTACTGCTTAGTGATTGTCATGAAAGTGTAAAAATCCATTTTTATTTGTTTCTCAATGCTTTGTTTGATAAGATAAAAAACTTATGAAATTGAAATGCAGCTGTAAAATATTTATTTCACAAAGGGTGGTTCCCTTCTACCCTCAAAATTGCTGTGCACTGGAAAAGGCACTCCTTTCCTTTACAATAAATTCTTTCCTCAATTAAGGCCATCTACTTATTACAATTTTTTTCCATCTACTTTTTTCATTATCCTGAGAACCCTACTTCAAATTTACCAGCTTTCTCAGACAACCTTGTATTTATTACTCAGGACATTTTCAACATCACTCTTCAGGCCATTGTTAACATTGCGGACCCTACATAAAGTGGTATGTATAACATACATTACTTTCAGATATTACTAAGACCATTTAGTAAATGGAAACCAGTCTTCAGTTTTTACTTTTAGTAATACATCCTAAATAGAGCATTGTTATGTCAGAGGATATAGCCACTTACAGGGCCGGTGGAAGGGCCCTCACTTCACAGGGTAAAATGATGTTCTCTGGACAACTAAAAACTTACATTGTAGAACAAGCCCTTATTGTCATGTGTCCATGCCATGCTGGTGAATTTTGCATTTTCTAGGGAGTCTGGCAACTGCACTTTACCATCCACCTTCATAAACTGAAATTATTAAAAAGACAAAGGAGTCAGAAAAAATCATGAACTGGATGTGACATAATATTACCTCTCAGCAGTACTGATTGCATATATGCCCTCAGTGTTGCTAATTTTGTTTTACTATTTTTAGATTTTCAAGATAATTGGCCGAAAACTAGCTCAAAAAGAAGCATTTTTTCAAACAATGTGTTTTTTTCAATACTAGCTTAGTTAATATGTCATGAAAGGGCTTAAAAGCCTATAACAACAAAAGCATGACATCAGTACCTTAATTGTAACCCAGTCAGATCCTTTGTGTGAAAGAGAGTAGGCAAAAAGCTGTCCATCTTCAGAGAATGATCTCCCCACAAGCGCTATGGTTCCATCTTCAGACAACTTGTTAGGATCGAGAAATACCTCAGCCTCACCATCTACTGAGTCTTGAACATACATCACACTTGGAAAATCAGTAGGAAAGTCAGTGTCAGGATATTATTCAAGCTAAATTTGATGTAAATATCATACACGGTAACATAATTATATTATGGTAGTAGGTCTGCATGGAGCACAAATCAGTCTATAATATATGAGTGATTGACAAATTCAGACAAGCAGTAGCAGGAGTCTGATTTCTTTAATCTTGACTATGATTAAAAAGACCTAATTGGAAAAGATAAATGTCTGTACCTTGTTAATCATAACCGTAACAAAATTTGTGATATTTTCTGCTTTTTAAAACACACAACTTTAAGATTTTCCAGGAGTTATTTGCACAGATCAAGACCAATGAGTTATATGGACACTATGTCACAATGCAGAATTAATTATTCTAAAAAAACTACCATAGAAGGTTAATATAGTAGATTTTACCTTTGGTTTTGAAGCCCAGAGTTGTGGAAGTAGAAATACTTTGAACCACGTTTAAATGGACAGCCATACTTTGGATAGTCCCACATTTTAGTTAGTCTGCAGGTGGAATAAAAATTCCAAGACTTAAAACATTTATTTTCACCCTTGGTAGGAATACTCCTTTTTATAATGTTATTCAGGCCAGTTTGGTTTTAAGTTGGGAATAGAGTTTAAGCCTGAAAAAGGGTAAAGTTTTGTATTCTGTTAAAACAAGGTCTGGAGTTAATTTTCTTTATTATATTTTGAGATCATTAATTTTTCCCTTGAGAACACTGGTTTAGTTACATATGAAATAGGATAGCGAAATTCATATAGATGGATTTCACTGTGACGTCATCAAATTGAAAAGTCATTTGAAATGGTGACATTTTACGAATTCTTATTTACACTAGGTTGAAGATAAACAAAAAGTAAATCTTTGTACAAGTATCCATTTCCGTTGCATGTTTCATTTCGAAAATACAGCAATTTGAACTTCCGAGTTTTCACAGTGCGTGACACCAAAATAGGAATGCTGTCTCGTTGAAAAAAAGTCTCTCCTCTTGATTTTCAGCAAATTATATAACCATTTCAAGTATTAGAAGACATGTTTCTGCGTACATATGCCAGTTCTCGAGTGAAAAGAAAGAACTTTTTAGAAAAAGTGAACTCCAGATGTTTTTATTGATTTCTGGCGCCCATATTGCTGCACCAAAATGGTGCACCAATATGGCGTCTCCATACAAAGGTCTACAAAGGTGCGTGAAACGTTTCTTCAAATAACTCTGAAACTGTGGGTCACAAAGACCTTAGACTTGGACAAATTGTTTATATATTAGTCTTTTATAACATTTCATTTCCTTGGCTTCTTCCACTGGACGGTTTCCAATTTAATTTTTTGTTGCGTGACAGTGAAAACGATCTATATTTTGGTCTGAAATCAGGCAAGGATTAGATGGCCCCACCTAATTCATGGGAGTTTCTCCTTCCAAACTAATGGGATTATTTTCCCTCTCGCTTTAAAGTTAAGACAGAATAAGGCTTTCTTTCTTGATAGAAAAAGTATTGATAAGTGTCACCCAGTTAAAAATCCTACCGTGAGTAAACCCTTACACCCCCCTCTTTGGATTATCATACTTTGGAAGGGAGTTAAATTTAAGCGGGGGAAGGGGTTAACTACTTTGTTGCTCTAAAAAACACTTGGGTCCTTGCGGAGGGACGGGAGAGAGAGATGGTGGATAATTACACTTCCATAAATCTACACGTGCAAAGCTTTGGGAGTTTAAAATAAGCATTCTAACCTTCCAGCGATTCATTTCCCACATGTCTACTATCAAAATCTTTTTGCTCACGAAACAAAAAGGAGTTGCTTTAATGAATGGGGTATTGTTTACGAACAGATGTCAGACATGTGCATGCTTCGGAAAATATCGTAAACACTTTTATGCAGTCTGCACTTCAGACTGCCCCGATACCATCAACTGACAGTTATTTCCAGTTTGATAAAAATAAAAGAACTAAGCATATAACTTTATATTCAACTTTCAAATTGTAAGGTTAAAAGCCTATTGCTGACCTTGTCTTGAAGTTTTCTCGGATTTCGCAGTCCGCTAAATAAGGCATTGTAATGGCATTTTGCTCTTCAACAAAGGCTTTGGTTTCTTCTGAGTCCGGATCCTCTACCCAAACATAGGGATCAGCAATCTTTGTACCATGATACTCATCTATAACAGTTTCATCTCTTCGAGCTTTTGGATAAGAAAAACCTGCCGGCACCTTGCCAGGTACCGCCATTTTGATTGAGCCCAATTAGCCCTTGGTCTCCTTGGTCAACCCCAACCGAGGAAGAGTGGGTGCTAAGATATAATTAGACGTGCACTGACAGTCACGTGCAAAAGTAATTGTACGCCCACGTGATGAGTTGGCAATGAGTAGGCGAATAGAAAAGAAACATATAATTGAGGCGCCATTAGTAATCCATTACAACTGATTACATCATCATTTTACGATCGACATTTATGGCTTTGGTCTGGTTGACTATCCAATGACCGAATGCCTTTTCAGTGGAAAGAAATGTATCACTGAATACATGATAATCTTTTTAAAAATAACTAAATCTCGTCGAGTCAGCAGGATAAGCTATTTTTCTGGTTCCGAAATAGCGTTAAACGGAGGAGAAAAGAATTTAAAAATCTCGAAGAACAGTTCACAATGGAGTACTTCGCGATAGAAGATCCCCTGGAGTAACTACAGAGAGCGTAGAAGCGTTCCTGGATAGTTTAGTCGAGTCCAGTTTCTTGAGATCGTACCTGGAAATGAGGCTAGCCGGGGAATACCCGATTTGTAACTTAAGATTGAAGAAGACCACGTGCGCTTCAAGTGACTCTGCCAAACGCTGCTGGTTGCGACCAAATGCAGAGCCCTGTTGGATATTTATCAGTTGATTTATTGTCCAAAGTTTTTAAAGGAAGGCCTCTAAAGCTGAAAAAAAACGGGTAAGTGACAATAGAAAACTTTAGGCCTTTAGAGTTATGACAACCATGATAATATTTAAAAGAAAACCTAATTTGTTACGGTTCCTACGCGCGGTGCACGACACACGCAAATCCATTTCAATCCCTGTGTCCTAGGCAAAAAAATCGATGACACAGCAAAAATTACTGGAAGGAAATTTCAATGAGGTCATGGAATGAAGAATTGTTCACGCATTTCGAAGGCTACCCTGAATGCAAGTTGCGAGGGGGACAAAGACATCTTATGATCATCTAAGGCCATCTAATAATCACGCTTAGCTTTTGCTCGTGTTTGCACATGCATCTCGGCTGCAAAAGCTTGTCTTGTTGGGATTAACAAGAAAAGTCTAATTTCCTGGAGATAAATTTGTTCGTCGAAAAAATCTTGATATATTATGGCTAATGCTTACAAAGACCGAAGTCTATTCCAATTTAATACTCCCAGGGGTTCACCTGATGTCACACAATTTACACGAGTATGCAAATAATGATGGAGAGAAAACCTCGATAAACTCAATGTAAAAACATTCATGATATCAGCATAAATAATGTAGCGGCTCGGATTTACTATTTGAACTAGAAACTTTGCTACTATCGATCACTGATACACGAAACAGTTGAAACACGAATCTGAAGATGATGACCTTGAATGTCCCACGCCATGAATTGTTCGTATTTAGCTTCTGCACTTTGATCCTGTTCGATCTATGTATCCAGACGATTTCCTGTCTTGCAAAGGCCGTTGCATGAAGTGATCCGAGCTTTGCGCTTTCCGGGCAAAGTTTAATTTTGTTCTCTTGACAAAAACGTATCATCGACGCTTCATCGACTTAAGAAATGGGTAGTTAAAAAATCAGCCTCGTAATATTTATAATTTATACTAAACGATATACTAAAAGGCGAAATAACATTTTTATTTTCATGCACACACACTCGAAGCATGAAGATGCAAGATAACTTTAATCGTTCACGAAACATATAGTACCTGTGTGCTGTTTTATCACTTGTCAGCAGTTTCGTTTTCCTAATTTCCGTATATGGAAGCTTACCAGTCACGTGACGGTTTTAGGGCTATCAACGGCTTCTTTTCTACAGTCGAACCTTTATATAACGGCCACCCTCAGGTCTTAATTAAGGAACTGATCGCTTATACAGCATTACTAAAAATACTTACTAGGCGTGGTCTAATGTCAATTTAAATGGAGTATCACTTCAAGCAAGAAACAATTGGACAAAGCGATCAATACTTTAAACAAAGCTCAGTGCTAACTTGTAACTTTATGGTATAATGTATACGTAATAATGTGTAATAAATTGTCCTCTAGTCTTCTACGGTTTTCAGTACTGTAAACTGTATAACTTATAGTTCACAACAAAGTATCTCATTCCGTCATTTCATAGTTCAATGTGCAGTTATAACGTACATGTTGCTACTTAAAAGTAGCACAAAATGACGTATGGCTTAGTTTCCGTTCAAGGGTGGCCGCTTAATACAGGTAAAAATAACAAAGAAAGACAAACATAGGACTGCTTCAGGGTGGCCGTGGCCGCTTAATAGAGGTGGCCGCCTAATGACAGGTAAAAAATACAGCGTTTGTGTATGAGCGAAAAATCGGCACTTTGAAAACTGTCCGCTTAATTAATAGAGGGTGGCCGCTTAATACAGGGCCGTTATATGCGGGTTCGACTGTAGTATAGGTTTAGTTTCAGATCACTTTTGGTACCGACACAATTTAAAAAAAGGTGGGCCTAATATAACTGAATATTTTTGGAGTAGCCACCTACAATGTGAGCACAGTATAGAAAACCACATAATCGTAGAAAGTACTAAAAAAACTCATCGAATAATGATAACGACAAAACCAGATAACAATAATATGTGCCGAGTAAGCTTATATTGGGTGCAAGGTCACCCGTTTGTTTGAGTGAACTCATTAGGCTTCTTAGGGCTAATATAGCTCCTACTGTTACAGAATTGTAGCAAAAAACATCAGAAATGTAACAATGAAATACTATTTTGTCTTCCATCAATCATGTTTATCTCCTCTGAACATCAGCGCAAGATTTCATCAAAATCAAATCTTAATATCACGCATAAATTTCAAATCCAGCGACCGGAAAAACCACATCTTTACATTAAAAGCACGTTTCAAATGTGGATGTGACTATCGTTTCAGAAATAATTGCCAAAAATCGTACGTGATGAAAAATTACAGGCTCCAAATCCCGTTAAAACAGGTTATCAGGAAATTTGATTTTAAGAAAAGTATGGTAGTGTGGTCATTAGTTTTCCCCTGGCCATTCTGGTGAAAGCACATAAGCAATTTATTATTAGCTGGGGACTTGTCAGTAGCAAAAACGCCTATAAATAGTAGTGTAACGTGTAGCATAATGTGAAAGTGAGAGAAAAGTTAACTGATTGGCGAGTTCATTTCTAGGCCTGTTCCACTATTTTGGGAGTATCTATTCTAGTAGCAAGTTGTAAGTTTATAAAACTCATTCTAGGAATTTGCCACCCCGGAAAGTAAGCATATATTCAAGGCGGAAATTTCAGTGTAATTTCAGTGCATAGCCCGCGTCACTCGGCGATTAGTTACTTTTCATAACTTAACTCCTACTTTTCAAAAGTTGTTCAATACGAAACGTAGCACTCGCTGTATGTCCTGTATACGAGCATCGCGACTCGCTCGACCAAGTGTTTCTTAAAGAATATTCATTCTGAAAAGTACATTGGCGTAGCAAGGTACTTGACATTGTATATTGAATCCATTTACGCGCACGCCTGCGGGACATTTATTAAGGGAGCTTAAGCAAGGACGTTCCTGAGTGACTCACGTCAAACGGAAGTCAGGTCTTTTCCCTTTCAATCTGACTTGACGCTACCAAATATTTATGGCTTTGTCTGTTTACCCTTATAGAGACTGTCCGAGAACGCAAAAAAGTCCATTTCCGGTTGAGGTACGTCGCTCAAAAACACCTTTGATTGAACTCCCTATTATTGTGGCCGAAAAATTAAATAGAGGCATTCATTTCCTTGTTTGTTGATGATCAGTTGTCAATCTAGCCGACATTTGGTTCCGCTCGATCTTAAGGTTTGCGGAGTAAAACCTTAATCTACGCACAAAGACTTTTTGAAAAGGGGTTTTTCCCAGGGAAGAAGAACTTTAAATTGCGGAAAACCTAGAAAATATCCCACTTCCATCCTGTGACCGCAAGAGCCCTCATGCTGGCACGTACAAACATTTTTGGTGCAAAGACCAACTTCACTTCTATATGTGTTCACCACGGAGTGAGGCTTGAAACCATTACTGCTGAGCCAGCATCGACTCCTGCACTAACCTGATGACCTAAGCTCTTACGAGTCTCCTTTTACTCAGTATAGTTACAGAGAATCTGAACACGTGCAGTAACCAGAATCACAGAATCGACACCTGTCCATGCGGTGAACTCGGGTTTTCAGTTTCAGAGCTGAGTGGCCTGTGTCACTCGTTGAAAACATATCTCGCTCTCATTCTGAGGCATAAAATTTACCCTCAAATTTACATCAATGCTATTAAATTAACCGTCACTTTATATAAAGGTTGTGCCATAAAATAATTGAGATCCCTTAGGATTAAATGTTTAATTAAACCTCTCTTCGGCGATGGTTCCGAATTTTCCTACGCGGGCTTGAACAGGCTCAAAACTCATCTCCTCGTGCTTATCAGAAGGTCTGAGTAACCATACCATTACTGTTTGAAAAAAATCGTTACTTCGGCATCCTTTCGCTGATGCTCGTTGTATATTCATCCTATTTTATCACCGTTTTGTCCATTTTCAATCCGTTTCCTTTGGATCCGCCGTGTTCTCAATCGGTAAGTGATCGTTACTCTACTACTCTGTTCAATCCACCACTTGACCAGTTCAATTTGTACTCCTCGTTACTTGTGATCAATAGAACACGACCAGAGTGAATGAGGGAAAACTACATGCGTGACTTGAATCATCTTACTTCAGCACAAATGACTAAGCGCACGCGCTGGCTTTACGTAACGGCAATTCTTGCACGTACTGCAATCCTTCTTCTTGGACATAAACGTCGATGACATCAACAACAAATTCATTAAAAACTAGTTTCATTTACGATTTTCCTCAACTAGACATTTGGCTTCCTTAAACGATTTCAAGACCCAAGAGATGTTGAACTAACAAAGAGTCAGAAAAGCGCCGCGATTCATAATTTATATCGGATAACGCAATATGGGGAATCCCCTGCAATGGCGTGGCTACGCAGTCATAATTATAATTTCTAACGACGCGCGCGCTTCATACGTTGCAACTAAACAATGTTTAACGGAAGCCCAACGACCGAAGAGCGCGG